ACGCGGCACGACATGCGGGGAGGGAACGGGGACACGCGGGGGGGACAGGCAGGACACGGGGACACAAAGAGTGGGGATGTGGGACACGGAGGACATGGGGGATACGGGGCATGAGGACATAAAGGATGGGGACATGGAGGACACGGAGGAAAGGATGGAAACGTGGGGGACGTGGGACAAGGGCAAGGGGGGGCACATGGGTCACGGGGACACAAAGGATGGGGAACGGGGGATGTGCAGGAGACAAGGTGCAAGGGTGGGAAGGAGGGATCACATGGGGGACATGAAGGACATGGGGGGCACATGGATCATGGGGACACAAAAAATTGGGACCGGGGGGGATGTGCAGGACTCAAGGTGCAGAGATGAGAAGGAGGGGGTCACAGAGGTCACATGGGGGACATGAAGGACATGGGGGGCACATGGGTCATGGGGACACAAAGGATGGGGTACGGGGGGATGTGCAGGACACAAGGTGCAGGGGTGGGAAGGGTGGGGGACACAGAGGTCACATGGGGACCCAAATCACAGGGACAAAAGGGTGGAGGCATGGAGGACACGCAGGACACATGGGTCGTGGGGACACAAAGGATGGGGACATGGGGGACACTAAGGTGCAGTGATCACACGGGTCATGGGGACACAAAAAATGGGGTACATGGGGGCTGTGAAGGAGAGGGAGCATGGGGGACTCAAGTCACAGGGACACAAAGGATGGGGACATGTGGCACATGGGGGACACAAAGGACACTGGGGTACACAAGAGCAAAGTACAGGACACAAGCTTCAGGGATGGGAAGGATGGGGGGCACAGGGGTACACAGAGGTCACACGGGGGACCCACGTCACAGGGACACAAAGGGTGGGGACACGAAGGACACAGGGGGCACATGGATCGTGGCGAAGGGGGGTGCAGGGAAGGGAAGGATGGGGGATACAGGGGGGATGTGTGACATGAAGCACAGGAAGGATGGGGGACACAAAGGACATGTGGGGGACACAGAAGTCACAACGGATGGGGAACATAAGGGATATGTGGGACACGGAGAGAGGGACAGAAAGGACAGGGGGACACGAAGGACAGCAGACTTGAAGGAGATGGAATGTGAAGCCGGGCACAAAGGAGAGGGGATGTGAAGGAGGGGTGACAACAAAGGTGGGGGACACAAAGGGCCTGGGGACATGTGGCAGGGAGGACAAGCTGCGGGGGGACAACACAAGTGGAACCTACTTCCCTGGGAACCTACTCCCTTCACCGAGGAAGGTGAAAAAAGCCTCTTTTCAGCTTAAAGATGTTTTTTAGACTGTTAATAACAGAAAATCAATTCCTGGGCAGAGGCTGGGAGCACGGGTACTCGCACCCCCTTCCAAATCTCCACCGAGCCCGCTGTTTACTCGGGTGGTTGCAGGAAAGCAAGTAACAATCGTTAAAAAATTAAACCATGGAGTCAGTGGCCACTCCAAAAAGGGACTTTTCCAGACGGCTCCCTGACTGCGGGACCTCCTGCCGGGTGACAGCTATGGCTGGGTGGGTTTGCAGAGGGCTTTCCCAGGAACAGGAAAATTTGGTAACCCATTTGGGACCTCTGGCCAGGTGGCACTGGGGTCCTCCCTGCCCTAAGCAGGTCGCTGGAGCTGGATGGTCTCTGGGGAGGGGGCTCCCAGCGAAGTGTGGGATGGAGCCGGGGAAGCTCTGTCTCACGTCCCTCTTGTCTCCCCACCGTCCCGCAGCTCCTCATCGCCCGCCGGAGGAGAACCAGCTGCTATTTCTACCCCCGTGCCTGGCCCAGCATCCGAGGCGCCGACTGGTGGGAACGGGTGGTCCTGAAGCAATTTGGGCCCCAGGACTGGCTGGAGAAGTTCCGGATGTCCAAGGAGACCTTCTTCTATGTCTGCAACCAGCTGCGGCCCGGGTTGGCTCCTCACAGCGCCCACTTCCACCCCTCCCTGCCCCTGGAGAAGAGGGTGGCCGTGGCCCTGTGGCACTTGGCCACCAACGTGGAGTACCAGACTCTCAGCCCGCTCTTCGGCGTGGGGCCCTCCACGGTGCAGACGTGCGTCCGGGAGGTGAGCTACGCTGTCGTCTTGCTGCTGAAGCCCCTCTACCTCCGCCTGCCCAGTGAGAAGGAGCTGGATAACATGGTGCGCATCTTCCGTACCCGCTGGGGCTTCCCGCATTGCATCGGTGCCCTGGACAGCCTTCACATCCCCATCCACCCGCCCCTGCGCCTCAGCGCCGACTACTGCAACGACCAGGGCTGGCATTCCATCCTCACCCAGGCCACCGTGGACGGGATGGGCCAGTTTTGGGATGTCTCCACCGCTTTCCCCGGCAGCATGGAGAACAGCGCGGTCCTGGAGAGCTCCAGCCTGTGGGTGCTGGCCAAGGAGGGCCGGCTGTGCCCCAACCCTCCCAAGAACTTCATGGGGAAGGCGCAGAAGTACGTGCTGCTGGGTGATGCCACCTACCCCTTGCAAGACTGGATCCTCAAGCCCTACCAGGACGAGGAGAACCTCACCCAGCGGCAGCTGCGGTTCAACTACCGCCTGAAGCGGGCGCACAGCGTGATCGAGAACGCCTTCCTGCGCCTGAAGGCCCGCTGGCAGATCCTCCTCAAGTGCGACGACTGCAGCCTGGAGCTGCTGCCCACCCTCGTCCTGGCCTGCTGCATCCTGCACAACATCTGCGAAGCCCACGACAACCCCTTCAACGAGGAGTGGCTGGAGGGCACCGAGCCCACCGAGCTGCCCAAGCCCTGCCAGCCCGCGCCCGCCGCCATGGAGGACGGCCGGGCTGAGCAAGTGCGGGAGCTGATGTGCCAGTACTTCGAGAGCTGCGGGGAGGGCTGATGGATGAAATCTGATGGGGGCTGATGGGAGAAATCACCCTGTGCATCCCACTCATGGACTTCCCCACGGACTCCAGCAAATATTGACCCGACGGTTCCGGGCTGTTCGGCAAAGGACTGGACTCTCTCTCCTCTGCCGAAGGCTACCGGCCGTTCCCGGGGCAGGGAAGGGGGCAGCTGTGTTGCACTCGGGCTGTTTTTGCTGCGGTGGTTTGGGGCAGTGGAATGTATTTTGTGCCCTTGCTCTCTTCCAGGATTTGAGCTGTCTGGTGGTGTGTTGTGTGTGGTGTGAGTAAAGCGGGGGTCAGGGCTGGGTGAGGGGGGAGGGCTGCCCGGGGCTCCCTCTCCTGGGGGGCACATCCTGTCCTGAGGCCCCTCCGTCAGGCTGAAACCAGCAGAAGTTTTGAAATAAGAAGGCAGAACCCCTTTGAAGGAACAAAACCTGCTGCATAAACACAGTTGGGAGGGGAAGGGAAGGAAGAGGCAGAGCAGTGACTTGCCAGGGGTTGGCACCAGCCCGGACTGAAATTGCATCTGCGAACTCCCGCTCTGCGGCTGCTCAGGCAGCACGTGCTGCCCTGGGGGGAGCGGGCTCAGCCCCACAGCCTGCCCTCCCTCCTCGCCCCTCTGCAGAGGGGTTTGCCGTGAGGCTCCACTGCTCGGTCCCTACCCATCCCACCAGCCAGCTCTTTCTGCTGGCGCCTCCGGTCTCTGCTCCTGGCCCTGCTGCAGCGTGAGCAGGAACACTCAGCTCTGCCCACCGCATCGTCTGGGAAATCAAGCAGCTGCCATTTATTCCCCCGCTGCCCTCCCACAGCAGGCTGGAGCCCGGTGGCACGCTGCCCATGCTGTGCCAGGGCAGAGGCACCTCCATCAGTGGTAGGTGGGGGGGTGGCACAGGCATGGCACAGAACGGCAGAATATTCATGGTTGGAAGGGAGCTTTGAGATGATAAGAGTCCAATCACAAAAAAAACCAAAAAAAACCTCACCCCAACAAACCGTTGAGATGATAAGAGTCCAATCACAAAAAAACCCAAAAAAAACCCCACCCCAACAAACCGAAAACACACCCCCACACCACACACACACACACAGAGACAGACAAAACCCAACAATGTTGGGCACTAGAGCATGCCCTGAAGAGCCACGTCTACACGTTTCTTAAATACCTCCAGGGATGGTGACTCCACCACCTCCCTGGGCAGGCCCTTCCAGTGCCTGACCATCCCCTCAGGAAAGTCATTCTTCCTAATATCTGATCTAAACCTCCCCTGCCCCAACTTCAGACCATTTCCTCTGGTATTGTCGTTATTCCCTTGGGAGAAGAGGCCAACCCCCACCTCTCGACACCCTCCTTTCAGGGAGTTGTAAAGGGCAACGAGTTCCCTCCTCAGCCTCCTCCAAACTAAACATGCCCAGTTCCCTCAGCCTCTTCTTGTATGACTTGTTCTCCAGACCCCTCACCAGCTTGGTGGCTCTCCTCTGGACACACTCCAGCAGCTCAATGTCCCTCTTTTGCGGAGGGGCCACCCTTCCCACAGGCCAGGGTCTCCCGGCTAGGGGTGGCTGGAGGGGCCCTGATGGGGACGATGGACGTGGCACCCTGGGTGCTGGCTCCCACAGCTCTGTGGGTGTGGGTGCAGTGTCCTCTGGTGACATGGGGCTGTCCCCAGCAGGGCCCTGCTCCTGGCCCACAAAGATCCCAAGGGAAGGGGTTCCCAGGATCACAGAATGGTTAGAGTTGGATGGGACCTTAGAGATCATCGAGTTCCAACCCCCTGCCCTGGGCAGGGACACCTCCCACCACACCAGGTTGCTCCAAGCCCCCTCCAGCCTGCCCTTGAACCCCTCCAGGGATGGGGCAGCCACAGCTTCTCTGGCCAACCTGGGCCAGGCTCTCACCACCCTCACACCAAACAAGTTCTTCCTAATATCTAATCTAAATCTGCCCTCTTCCAATTTAAAACCATTCCCCCTTGTTCTGTCACTGCACTTCCTGACAACCTGGCTCTCCTGGACCTCCCTTCAGATATTGGGAGGCTGCTCTAAGGTAGGAGTTCCCAAGGGGCTCCCCATGCCTCTGTGTGGCCTCCATACCCCCCACCCTCCCTCCCTCCCTGTGGACTGTGGG